CTCCATCCGTGACAGATTCCCAGGAGGGGGCGCCAGGGGCCTGCCCCTGCATGGATTTCTTCTGCAGCCCCCAGCAGGCGAAGGTCGAGGAACCCCCAGCAGAGGCGCTGAGGGACACCACCGAGGCCCCCTTCTGGGCGAGGCTCTGTTGCATCAACGCTGTGGTCCTGATGTGTGTCAATATCTTCTGCTATGCTTATTTTGCATGATGCAGCCGGGTGGAGTGGGGCTGGGGGCAGGGAGGGATGGGAGGGAAGGGGAGGGCGGTGTGGTGGGGAGGGATGTGGGGAGAAGGTGGAGTGAGGTGCTGGTGTGATGTTTAATTTTTCCCACCTACATTTTGGCCTCTGGAGGGTTTTGTATCAATTTAACCTGTCCCAAAGCTCTTTGTGGACCAGAAGGTCGGAGTCGCAGGGTTGCCGCAGATTCCTACAGCCCGTCCTTCCGCTCCCCACAGACATGAGTTAAAGCCGCCTTAGCCCCTGGCTGAAATGTGTTGGACTCCATGTTCCTTCTAATCTTTTCCATCCATATGTGGCTTTTTTCCTACTCCTGTGTGGAATAATGTTTTATGTGCACCACGGTGCGTGTGAATGTGCACCATCAGTAGAAACACAAAACCTAGCTCTGGGGGCTCTGCTACTCAGCTGGGAAGCACTGGAATTTCTCTTGAGTGGCTGCAGAAGCGCACGGCTGAACACCAGACGGACAGTCTCCTCAGTGCCACGTGGGAGGGGCCGGCGATGCTCGGGAGAGGCCCAGGAGCTGAATTGCTGGGGATGTTTCAGCTCGAGGGCAAGATTAAGGTTCGTTAGGCGAGATTTGGGAAGGATCAAGGACGGGAAAGGGAGGGCCTGCCTCTCAGAGCTGAGGCGCATTGACAGAGCTGTGGAGGAGCAGCATGCTCACCCAGTATGTGTGTCCTGTCCACCCCGGGGCCGGCACTGGATTCAGAAGCTGTAGCTGGCTGTTCCGGATTTGCACATTTTTGCTTTCTTCATTGAATAGCATCAAAGATCTAAGCCAGTGTTTCTCAACCAGTGGTACAGGACGTCTGGGGGGTACGAGAGACATCTGGGGGGTACGTCACCACAACTGAAATTTGGAGAAAACTGAATGTTTGTTTTTAGTTTTACAGCGTTTTATTTTTTTTGTACTTTTTACACTCAAAAATTTCATGCCCACCCGGTTACGATTAAGTTGTTTCAACAAATGTGTTGCAATGGTAGAAAAAATGTTGTGTCTGAAAACTGTAGGTACTGGGGGTACTTTTTTTTTTAAAGGGGTACTTTATAAAAAAAAAAGGTTGAGAAACATTGATCGAAGCCACTGACTCTAAAGATGCTTATGATACAATGGGCAAAACTCTTGCCACGTTTCACAGTGAACACAGCGGTCCTTCACCTCTCCTATGTGGACAGTAGATTGCTATGTCAGCCCTGGAGAATCTGTGTAACTTGCACTTCTAACTCCGCACGGCCTTCTTAAACGTAGAAATGGAAACCAGTCTTGCACCGGGTTCCGTGCCTACACCCCTCCCTGGTGCTTCCTCAGAATGATTGCTTTTTATTTCCTTTGAATTAAAACACCATTTGCAGCTAGAAATTATACCTGCACTACCCTGCTCAATGCCCTTGGGCACCACGGACTGCCATCTGACTGGGTGGCTTGCAAATAATCACCGAATTATTCAACTGTGGAGCTCTTGCACGGAAATCTGGCTGTGGTTCAGGTCAGTCCCGAAAGCTCCGCCTCTCTGGAGGCTGTACCTCTGGGAGTGGCACAATATTAGCCAATAAGCTCTGGCCTGATGGGACGATGTCATCATAGAAGCAGCAGGGAGGGGTCTGTGTGTGCGTGCGTGCGTGCGTGCAGGTTTGTGTGTGTGCATGCACCATTGCACTGGCTAGCTAGGACACGGGAAGGGGTGGCCTGTGACTATAGGCCGATTCAGCCATCGCCTAGGGCACCGCCTTCAACGGTGCCCGATGATGACATCACGGGGCGCCCGGTGTGCCTGATGATGATGTCACTCCATCGACAGCTGTGCAGGCCGGGGCGCCAATCGCGCATTCCGCCTGGGGCGCCAGCTGCCGCAGCCCTCCTCAGGCCGCTCTTGGACTCGGGCTAAGGGGATATTAATCTCTGAATCACCCAGAGTCCTTTGGTGATATTGCACCGCGGTACATGGATGAGATTCAGTTCATTTGCCAGCCCCCCGTCGTGTTTCCCTGACCTCACTGTCTCCTGGAGAGAGCTGTTTGCTTTGCTTTCTTTAATGACCTCCTCAAACAAGATACACAGTCAAGCTGATTGGACGGTTGTGGGCAACAGAAGCTAAAAAGAGCCGTTGACACCCCAGCAGGCTGCTCCTCCCTCCGAAGGTGCTGCCCTCTCGCGAGGCTCTGATGAAGCCGCGATAGTAACAAGAGCCCCAGCGAGTATTCTGGGTTCAGGCTGATCTCGTGGGAATGTACCCTCCAGCCAGTCTTGGGGGCGGGGCAAGTAGTTGTCATTTCACGCTGTCGCTCATGATGCTGGGTCGGGCGTTTGCTGCCACACTGCCACTGCCACCATGGCAGGACACCGTGCTCATGTGTGGACCACAGTTGTTATTCTCCATTGCTAAGAAGGCTGCCTCAAGCCTTCGCCTGCCAACTCGGGGCCAGGCAAACATCTCAGTAGCCTCTAACTTTAGCTTGCAATGCATCAGCAAGGCACACAGTCTGAGAGAAAGACTGAGGCATCACTAGCTACCGACAAACATAAGAACTGCCAACCTGGCATGGACTGGCAGACTATTTTGTCTGGGCCCGCTGCCAGCATTGACTGAGGCCTGATGCCTACAAAGATGATCCCTCATAACACACTCGACTGTTCCAGAGGGTGGGTGAAATTTCTCCGGTGTTCTGAAACACGAGGACGTCAGATGCCCTTTGGAAGCTCTGAATCCAGCGACAAAATATTCACTTAGACACAGAAGCGGCTAATCCTCTTTCCAAACCAGTTAAGCCATATGCCTGAATGACATCCTGCAGCAGAGAGTTCCGTAGATTCATTACATAGTTCTTACAAAAGGATTTCCAGGTGGACCCCCCCTTATCTTTCTTCAGTTCAGTTGGCTGGCTCTTTTGTGTCCCAGTAGGTAAGAGGCTCAGGTGAGTATAGAAGTAGCACAAATCCTTCTTACGCTGGTGAATCTAAGGTGCTATATGCTTTATTCAGGCCAATTTACAGCCTAGAGCCATGACCCATGACTTTTAATAGCATCTCGCTGACCTCACAGCTTGTAGCAAGCCCTGAGGCTCTGGTGGTGAGTAGGAGAACAAAAACGACCCCTGACTCCTTTCTCTAAGAGGTTTCACCAGACTTGGCTTTTTAAAATGCACCCGTTCTTCTTTTTAAGAGGCTTTTAACCTCTTCCCTCCCACTAGGCAAGATTCCCAAGTGTGACACACTCTTTTAAAGCAGGGGTGGGGAACATTTGTTGGGTCAGGGGCTGCTGACCCGCAGAAAAATCAGTCGGAAGGCCACACAAAAGTGAGAAGTGCCCCCCCCCACGCATTCTTCCCTCGCACACAAGAACCTCCAGGGGTCCAGGCTAGTAGACTTTTGGTCCCTACAACCTGTTGTGGGGCCAAAAAACGAGGGCTGCGTCTAGATTGGCATGATTTTCCGGAAATGCTTTTAACGGAAAAGTTTTCCATTAAAAGCATTTTCGGAACAGAAAGTCTAGATTGACAAGGACACTTTTCCGCAAAAGCACTTTTTGTGGAAAAGCGTCCGTGCCAATCTAGACGCACTTTTCCGCAAAAAAGCCACGATCGCCATTTTCGCGATCGGGGCTTTTTTGCAGAAAACAAATCTGAGCTGTCTACACTGGCCCTTTGGTGCAAAAGCTTTGCGCAAAAGGGACTTTTGCCTGAACGGGAGCAGCATAGTATTTCCGCAAGAAGCACTGATTTCTTACAGCAGGAAGTCAGTGCTTTTGCAGAAATTCAAGCGGCCAGTGTAGACAGCTGGCAAGTTTTTCCGGAAAAGCGGCTGATTTTCCGGAAAAACTGGCCGGTCTAGACACAGCCGAGGAGTTTAGTGTGTGGGAGGGAGCTGCTGGGAAGCAGGTTTGGAGAGTGGGGTCTGGGGAGGAAGGAAGGTGTAGGAGCAGGTGGAGGGCTGGTGATTCTGGGAGGAAGGGAGGGTACAGAAGCGGAGTGGGGTGCGGGGTCTGGATGGGAAGGGGGCCACACGGCTCAAACATCTGCTGCCCAATGCTGGAGGGGGGAGCCCTGAGCCCTGAATCCAGGCAAGCCGGGGACCAGATCCGGCCCCTGGGCCATTTTCCCCATCCCTGTTTTAAAGGCAGGCCAAAGCAAGCTCCCCTCCCCCGTTCCCCAAACACACAACCCAAGCCCAGTTTCTCATCACTGGGCTAAAGCCACAGCTGGCGTGAGGCTGTGACTCCACTGACTTCAGCTGCATCCCCCCTGCTTTGACAGGGTGGGATCTGGCCCTGACTTTGGCCTTCGGTTGCTAATGGGACACCAGCCCGGAGGGGACAGAGAGATGTTTGCGTGAACCATTAATTCCCTGGCGGCGCGATGGAATCCGGCTGGCAGCGCATCAGAGCTGTCTCATAACCAGGTGCAGCGAAAGCTGCCCGGAACTCTTTGATCGTTTTGGGAAGCCCGACGAAAGGTGCCAGGAATGCGCCGCGCCCCTCCCACAGCCTGCTCGTTAGTCCTGATGGGTTTCACGCCCTGTGATTGCTCAGGATCACTCCAGGGCAGAGAGCGCCCAAGCAAGCTCTCGCGGTTCCCGGCTCAGAGCGGCCCAAGCTCAAAGATTCGTGGCCTCACACGGCAGCTGGGGGCTAACCCCTGCGAAGGCAGGAGAGCCCTCCAGTTTCAGGGTGCAGGGGGAATGCCCAAAGTTGCACCAGGGGATGGGGTAGCTGCAGTGAGGGACCTGGTGTTCTAGTGTGGAGAGGAGGTTTGATGCCCAAAGTTGCACCAGGGGATGGGGTAGCTGCAGTGAGGGGCCTGGTGTTCTAGCATGGAGAGGAGGTTTGGGGAAGGGGTACATGGTACCAGGCCTACCTTCTGTATGAGAAAGCCCCAGGTTCTGTGCCCACCTGTCTGTGATTTGAGGAGGGAGAGGGGCTGATCCTAGAAGCACAGGCTGGCACAGGAAGTCCTCGATGGAAGGGATCTGCTGATTCCGCTTTGCTCCAGAGCCGCCTGGCCCGGCCCCTCCGTTGGCTGCTCACTTTGAGCGGCAAGCCCAGGAGCTGGGAAAGCCCCTCTCCCCACGCCTGGCTCTCAGCAAGCGCGATTGGGAGGCTTCATTGCATGCTTGCCACTGAGCAGGAAGGCGGGAGGACAAAGGCCCCTGCCCCAAAGGGCTCGCAGTGGAGCTAGACAGAGGACGAAGCGGAAAGGCTACACCACGCAGGCAAAGTGCCGGGGCGCTGTGGGTTGCGATGAGCCTTGTTCATTTCACTCTGGTCTTGTCCCCGGCGTGCGGTGGGTGGTGTGATCTGCCTCTTCTGCTGCAACAACCTCCCCCCACCCCCGGTACAAAGGCCTAGGACACGCTGGTTCTGCAGCACTGGGAGGGGGTGGGCGCCAGAGCACACAGATCCCAGAGGGTTCAAATCTGACCTGGTCCCCCAGTCCGACCTTAAGCCTAAGAAAGGTCCATCGTGCTCTGGGGATTTGTCTCCTAGAAGCTCTAGGCACCAGGTTCAGGGGATTGCAGTTCATTTTGAGGTGCAGCCAGGGAGCTGGGGCATCCAGACACCGGCCGGCAGGTCACATGTGAATGGGGTGGACGTAGTTCCGTGGAAACAGGCCGATTCGCCCGCAGATCTTCCCTCTCCACCAGTTGGGGTCGGGGCAGTCCAAGACCTCAATGATGTCTCCTCTGTAGAAGTCCAGCTGGGACGCATCGTGGGAGGAGAAGTCAAACTGAGCCTGGACGAACTTCGGCTTCTTGACCTGCAGTGAGAGCGAGCAAGGGAGGAGTCAGGAGAGAGAGAGAGAAGAGGCTTCACAGCCCCACAGGCCACGACCCCCCTTTGCGCTCAGCTGCGGGCTCCATAGAGCTGGGGAGGGAATTCTGTCTGCCGACCCAGGGCACGGAGCTGCCTGGCATAGAACTAGCAGGGGTCAGGGTCTGATTGCGTTCGCTAAAGGACTGATGAGCCCGACCTCAGGCGCATCCATGAGCAGCACCACCTGGCACCACGGGGGGCCTAGCCTCAGCCGGCGTAAACCCGCAGAGCTCTTCTGAAGCCAAAGCTTCGTGCGGACTTCCTGAGGCTCTGATCCTTTCTCCTCAGGGAAGAGGTGCTCCAGAGAACTGGACTTGGGCCACAAAGTCTGCGCCCCGAGCCGAACGGTTCCCAGTGTCTGCCCGTTCAGGTCGGCTCGCTCTGTCTCCAATCCCTGCTATATTATGACCAGGGCTTCCTGCCTTTGAAGGGGCAGAAGCAAGTCGTGCTCCCGGAGCGGAGCTACCGGTGCCCAGTAAAAGTGGCCCTCGGGCTGTGTAGATTGCTGCTCTGGTTGCTGGTGTTCTGGGAACGCCGAGCGTTAGCCATCAGCTAGCACGGTTCCTGTAGCCCAGGGAGAACCCCTTTATTCCTGGGCTTTATCTCCCATCTTTTAACCACCAGGAGCTGACCTCAGAGACTCACAAAAACGGTGCCACAGGACGACTCGTTGTTTTTAAAGTTACAGATGAACACAGCTCCCCCCGATCCATGAGAGGACCTTCCCTTTTATCCCACGATGCCTTCCTTGCCTTCAGAGCGGGCCTGGGCAAAACACGGCCCGGGGGCCGGAACCGGCTGCAGATCACCCTGCCGGGACCTCAGCTGCCGTGCTTTAAAGAGAAGTCCGTGCAGCAGTCTGCTCTGCAGGGAGGGGGAAGCGTCGTATGATCTCCCAGACCCCAGTCTAATCCTCCGCTCCTCTAGGCTGGAAACAACCGGCCAGTAGGAATTGACCCCAGTCAATCTCTCAGCTTCTATTGGCTGGAAATAACTAGCCAATAGGAGCTTAGAAATTGGCCTGGCGGATGGGGGCAGCGTCAGCCTCTTCTCCTTCGTGGAGCGGAGAGCCACGTGGAGGGAGCAGCCTGCAGTTTAAAGTGACCTGGGGCTGCAGCGGGCAGGGAGCCCAGCCTGCTTTGGGGGTGTTGCAGGGATGCTGGCTTAGGTAAGCGCCTCCCGGTCAGAGCCTGCCTCTGGCACCCCTGCCCCTCCTGCACCCCAACTCCCCCCCCCAGGGCACCTCCAAACCCTCTGCATCCTCCTGCCCCAGGTCACAACTCCCTCCCAGATCCTGCACCCCCTTCCACACCCCTCCCCCAGGCCAGAATCCTCTCCTGCACCCGTACACCCTCCCAGACCCTGCTCCCCAATCCCCTGCCCTGGCTCACCATCCAAACCCTCTGCAGTCTGCACCCCCTTTTCCCAGGTCACAGCTCCCTCGCAGACTTTGCATCTCCTCCTAGAGCCCCTCCCCCCAGGCCAGAATCCTCTCCTGCACCCATAATAATCCCTCCCTGCCCCTACACCCCAATCCCCTGCTCCAGGTCACAACCCCCTCCTTCATCCAAACTCCCTCTCGGCCCTCACACCCTCTCTTGCACCCCAGTCCCTTACCCCATGTGCCCTTCTGCACCCAACCGCCGCCCTAGACCTCACGCCCCCTCCCCAGAAAAGTGCGGCCCTTGGCCACTTTCCAAAATCTTGGAGTGGCCCCCTAGAAAAAATGATTGCCCACCCCGCTTAAGAGCCTTGGGTGTGGGACCTTGTCAAAGGCTTTTGTACAGGTTGAACCTCTCCTGTCTGGCACCCTCGGGATCGGATCGATGCCGAACCAGAGAATTTGGCAAACCGTGGGAGGTCAGTATTGTCTCCCAGCATCACCAGCACTTCCCCTGCTTGCTGGGCTCTTAGGGTGTGTCTAGACTACATGCCTCCGTCGACGGAGGCATGTAGATTAGACAGATCGGCAGAGGGAAATGAAGCCGCGATTAAAATAATCGCGGCTTCATTTAAATTTAAATGGCTGCCCCGCTCTGCCGATCAGCTGTTTGTCGGCAGATCGGGGCAGTCTGGACGCGACGCGCCGACAAAGAACCAGCAACTAAAATCATGCTGGACCAGAGATGTAGCCAGACCATAGAGTGCTGGACTAGAGAGGTTCAACCTGTACCCTGTATAAACTGTTTTGCCTTTGTCCACATGTGGGTTGAAAACCTCCAAGATTTCTCACAGCCCATGGCTGTGTCCTGTGCGCCTGTTTTAGCGCTGGGGCCTTGCCTTGGGTTTTGGCTGGTGAGCAGTGGACATGCCGGGCTGGGGGCTGCCCTCTCCTTCTCTCGCCACCCTCCTGGAGTGAGGTGGATGGGCCGCCGAAGAGCCCTGTACCTCGTGGTTCTGGTCATCGTCTCTCAGGAAGATCTGCTGCTTTTTGGCGATGGTGGTGGTTCTGTAGAAATCCACCAGCTCGTTCAAGGAGTTGAACTTTTCCTCCCAGAGGAAATATTTGCCGTTCCTCTCGCGGAGTACCTTGAAATGCTGGACGTGCTCTCCATAGCTGTGAACACAGAGAAGAGGGCTGTTATCTGGCAAGCTGGGATTTAAAGCAGGGGGGAGTTGCGCCTCTCCTCCCCCTCCCCCTCCCCAATCCAGCCAGTTGGGATATTTATGTAGCTCCTGTGACAGGAGCTGATGCTGCCACAAAAGCCAACCCCCGGTTTCTAACGATCAGCGCCGTGGTTCCAGATCAATGGCTCAGTTTTACACGCACGGCGGGGACCCTGCACACACCTGATGTTGGGCATGCACCAAAGAGTCTGCAGGCAATGACACCAGGGTGCCGGCTGATTTGCGAACCTGATGGAGAAGAACTTTGAGTTCCAAACCCCGGGGTTTGGATCACCTGCTTGGCATCCTGCTTGCGTTCGAATCGCCCCGTGACTTGCACAATGCTAATAACTAATAACAGCCTGCCCTGCCGGAGCCCCTTTCATCCGAGACGTGCCAGGCGCTTTGCAGCTGGTAATTAATTAATTAAGCCTTGTGACACCACGAGGAGGAGATAAGTGTTTTTCTAGCTCTTTAATCCATAAGGAAACTGAGGCAGCGTGAAGTTAAGTGGCTTGCTCAGGGCCTCTTGGTGATTCAGTGGCAGAGAAGGCAGCCCGGCCCAGACGTGGTGTCCAGTTGCCTCTGCTGACCGGCTCTTTCATTGCAATCTGCTTTGTTGGCAAGGGGAGATACTGGTTCGGGCGAACCAAGGAATGGCCAGTCTCTGCTTCGGAGACGCAGACAAGCCCTTATTCCTTGCAAACTAGGTTTGTGACCCATGTAGCCCTGTAGAAACAAAGCAGCATGTGGCCAGAGCTCACACACAGGCAGCGAAGGAAATGGAAATGCTTTGTTGGCTTGATCAAGCAGTGAAGTGGCCGTTGCATCGATGCTACTGATGGGCTGCTAGATGCCGTTAGCAGTAAGTGATCAGAACTATGCTCTATCTACTCTCTGCCCTCCAGGGAGGCCGTGTTCACGTGGCTCGTCTGTGTCTCCCACTCTGCCGAGTGCTTCATCCTCTAAATACTACAGCTAAGGTGCATATCTGGTGTGAATCCAGAGTAACTCCACTTCCGTCACTGACGTGTCACTGAGATCAGAGCCCGGCGCTCGGGTATGCTGGAGAAAACAGCCATAAGGGGGTTTTACGAATCCAGGCTATCACCCTGCTCTGCCCCAGGAAATGAACTGGGCAGCTGACGGCGCGCAGATGGAATGGGCGACCTGGAGACACCCTGCTAAGGATGAAACTCACCCCTCTGCAGCAGGCCCGCACGGTGCCTATGCCTCATGGCCTCTCTCGCTGGCGAATATTGTCACATAAACTTCCTGGGGCTCCCACCTCTCTCGGTGTCCAGCTGTTGTCTCAGACTCAGACTAGAGGCTCCTGGGTCAGGGACTGCCTTTTGTCCCGCACCTAGCGCAACGGGAGCAGGGCCCACAACTAGAACGCCAGGGAGCCACACGGAAATCTCAGCCGCTGGGAAAGGTAGGGGTGGGCCGGCTCCTGGCCCTCCCAGAAGGGACAGAGCTGGGGGCCAGCCTCCCCCAGTCAGCCCTTCTGGGCCGCCCAGACCGCACCGTCGGGGCTCCAGCGGTGATTGAAAGAGCCCAGAGTTTTGGCCGCCGCTGCTGCAGGGGCAGTAGCCGTGGTCAAGAGTGATTGAAAGAGCCCAGAGTTTTGGCTGCTGCTGCAGGTGCAGTAGCAGTGGTCAGAAGTCCCTGGCCCTTTTAAATTGCCAGGCCCCTGGCAGCTGTCCCTTATCCACTCCCTCTCCCCAATCAGCGGCCCCGGAGAGACACCGGTGGAAATAACAGTCTGGAGGAGGTGGAGGGGAGGGAGTGGGGGCTTGGGCAGGGAGCTATTTCTGGCCAGAGTAATGTAAAGGGGTTTTATGCATGCCAGATAGTTGGGGGCACTAGGGGACACATGGCAGGGTATGGGGATTATAAATCCAGGGCCTAAAATGCTCAGGGCCACAGGTGCTGTGTGCTCAAAACTTCTGCGGACTCCAGCACCAACGTTCCCTCTAATTTTTCGATGCAGGTGCAGAATAAATGTTGTCCTGTGCACCATGGCATGTGCAGATGTGCACCACCAACAGATACACATGCTGGTGGCTGTGGCCGCTCTGCCAGTCAGACGGGGGGCAGCTAAATCGCTCCTGTGTGGCGGCCCAAGTACTCAGCTTATAGGGAACACTGCTCAGCACCCCGGAGAATCCAGTGCCAAACCCTTTATCCCAGGATTCCCAGCTCTGCCATGGGACAAAACAAAGCCCCCGCTTGGATACCCGGCCCTGTGGGACATCAGGATGCCCTGCCCAAAGCGTCTTGAGTCTTAGGTTTGGCTGCCACATGCCTGTCTCTGGTTTGGAAGCGGTTTTCCCTGGCTCTGGTTTGCATTTAAAACCTCCTCCCCCCTCGGTCAGCGCTGTCCCCAATCCACCAGGCTGGGTGCCGGAATCACAAGGCTGCTGAGCTGTGACCATCAGAGCCAGGAGTGGCTCTCAGGCTGGGGAGGCT